TACATATGCGGGGTCAGGCCTGCTGCGGGCGACGGGCCCATGGCCCTGGGAATGTCCGATCAGGAACTCAACGGTCCCAGGAGCGCGCTGCTCTCAGGTCTTTCGCCAGCGCATAGAGGTGCGTCGCTGACGGCAAAGGTTTGTATTCATGGAGATCCTGCATGGCTTCAGGCGACGGCATCTGCCAGACAATGGTCGACCAGTTTGTGGAGAAGTCTGACGACGCCGTTCACCAGCCCTTTCTCTTTCAGGGATCACACCAGGCTCTGGAGGAACCTCGAGGCTCAGGGGTTACGTCTAGGACCAGCTGAGTGGAGGAATTCTCGGGGGCCAGGTCATCGAATGCTTCTGAGTTTAGACCGCATAGGCTGGAAGGCACTTAGTTTTAGTAGGTGGCAAGATGATAAGGGCAACGTTGCTGGTTTGTTATACCACAGCCCAGCCATGGTTGCTAGCCTTTTGCAGCCAGGAGTTCAGAGATCCCACGAGAGGCTATTAGCGGCGAGTCTCCCCTCGTTTGATGGTGTGCGTGCGTGTGTAAACCCCCTCCGCTCTCTCCCCCGCTCGAAGCGAACCCCGCCGCGAGCAAAGTATTGGATCTGCTCTTGTTTTTTTTTTTTTTTTTTTTTTTTTTTTTTAAAAAAAAAAAAAAAAAAAAAAAAAAAAAAAAAAAAAAAAAAAAAAAAAAAAAAAAAAAAAAAAAAAAAAAAAAAAAAAAAAAAAAAAAAAAAACTGCTGGACGGCAGACCGCTTGAAAGAGTCAGGCTATATTTCAGACGGCCTTTGTCCCAAGTGCGGCCAACCTGACTCTATGTTTCACCGTCAGTGGTTATGCGACGATCCAGAGGTTGCAACGGCCCGCAGCGAAGCCGTTGAGCCTAGTCTGATCGAGGCTGCCCGTAATTGCCAGCCCGCAGAGAGATTGTTTTGGTCTCGATTGATAATGGCCCAGCCCGATGATGACTCCTTCCCCCCCTCGGCGGCGTCGGACCCCCTCCTCCAGGATGCGAATGGGCAGCCGTTGTCTCTCGAGGAGTTTGTAGAACGGAGTGAGAGCTGCGACTTGGTGGTCGACGGCTCGGCCACCCAGTGCCCAATTTTAGAACTCAACCGCGCTGCTTTCGCGGGAGTTTATTTAGAGCCAGGGGATGTTTACCAGGTTCGGACCCGTTTCATGGCCACTGTGTGGCCTGTGTTGCACCAAACGCCCCAGGCGGCCGAAAACTTGGGCCTGGCCACTGCTTGTGCTTTTAGCTCGGGCATGAGTTCCCCTTTCAGTGATTGCAAAGGAGCCGTGCGTCTGCATAATCTCTCGGATGAGGCGCAGCTCTGCCCGCGGGAGATGTTTGCTGGCTTCCGTCGTGCTGCGCAACAATCTCCTGGATTTGATGCCCTGGGGGAGGCCCAGCATACGCCCGCCCATCGGTCGGATGCTATCATACAGGCCCTCCCCCCAGACCAGAAGCGAATAGCTCTGCTAACCAGGACGCTGATCGCCTGGCCAAGCACGCCCTCTCGCTTCATCCTCAGCCTGCACCTGCTGATCTGGAGAGGCTGGATAGGCAGGTGCAGGACCTCCGTGCGTGTGCGCTGATGTTCGGGAAGGTGCTCTCTCTGTTTCCTAAGCTGAACTTTGAGAGACCCCCGAGGGAGAAGAGGTTGCCTAGAGTTCCCCCCCCGCCTGATTGGCATGATTGGGAGGAGCTCAGTGGTGACCGACCCGCTTTCAGATGTAAGAAATGTTTCAGGATTTCTTTTGAGGGCGAGTCCCGCCCGATGAATGGTTGTGCTGGTTTGTCCACGGCCCTGAGGCGCCTCCAGGGTGCTGAGACCGAGAGACAACACAAGTTGGGTTTTGCTATCCTGCACAAGACCCAAAGACCGCTGTTTTTCTGTTTTGCCTGCGGAGCATACACCAGCAGGCGATGTTTCTTGCTTGGCCAGACCTGTCTCAAGAAGCTGAGCTCTGCGGGAGAACAGGCGCTCACAAGACTTCAGTCTGGCCTCCACCCTCATTACAGAAAGAATCCTGAGGGTGATGATTTGCTGGCGCCTGCTAGAGCGCCGTCGAAGTCGGTGCTTCTTGCCCCTCCTGGCCCCCTCGCTGCTGGGTCGTCTCGCTTGGTCGACTCTGACCGACTGCGAGCGCTGGCAGCCCGTATCCAGGCCAAGGAGGAGGCATCCAGGCGATAGCTGCTGCCTGAAGCTGACGTTCTGCCGCAAGGTCGTCCCGTCCTCCTCCTCCTCCTCCTCGACCTCCTCTTCATCCCGAACGGCATCTCGGAGCCTAGAGTTGCGAGGATGTCTCCAGCGTAACGGGCTGGACCACCTCGCGCGCGGCATCTCGGACCCCAGAGTTGCGACGATTTCTCGGGCAAACGTGCTGCGAGGAAGTCTCAGGCGAAACGGGCCAGACCACCTCGAGCGCGGCGTCTCAGAGCTCCGAGTTGCGGGGGCCTCCAGGTGCCTCCTGGGGCCTCCTGGGGACCTCGTGGGGCTTCCTCCTGGGCCTCCTGTGGCCTCCTGAACTCCAAAGCCTCTTGGGGCTCCCAGGGGGGATATCTAACCTGTGGCCGTTTGGGCCTCTCCAAATGGAGGGGGGGGCACAAGAGCAGGAAGAATCAACGAATCGACACCGGATGTGTATTAACTTGACACGTTCTGATAGGCGGCCTCCTGGGGCCTCCTGGGAGCATCCTAGGAATCTCCTGGGGACTCCTGGGGCCTGTCCTGGGCGTCCTGCGGCCTCCTGGAGCTCTCTGGGGCCTCCCCCTCCTCCTGCCTGCTCCCTCATGCACATCATCCGCCTCCTCCTCCTCCTCCTCCTCCTCCTCCTCCTCCCTCCTCCTCCTCCTCCTCCACCTCCTCTTCATCCCGAACGGCATCTCGGAGCCCAAAGTTGCGAGGATGTCTCCAGCGTAACGGGCTGGACCACCTCGCGCGCGGCATCTCGGACCCCAGAGTTGCGACGATGTCTCGGGCGAAACGTGGTGCGAGGAAGTCTCAGGCGAAACGGGCCGGACCACCTCGAGCGCGGCGTCTCAGAGCTCCGAGTTGCGGGGGCCTCCTGGGGCCTCCTGGGACCTCCTGGTGACCTCCTGGGGACTTCCTCCTGGGCCTCCTGTGGCCTCCTGGACCCCACCTGGGGCTTCCTGAAGCCTCTTGGGGCTCCCAGGGGGGATATCTAACCTGTGGCCGTTTGGGCCTCTCCAAATGGAGGGGGGGGGCACAAGAGCAGGAAGAATCAACGAATCGACACCGGATGTGTATTAACTTGACACGTTCTGATAGGCGGCCTCCTGGGGCCTCCTGGGAGCCTCCTGGGAATCTCCTGGAGACCCCTGGGGCCTGTCCTGGGCGTCCTGCGGCCTCCTGGTGCCTCCTGGGGCCTCCTGGGGACCTCCTGGAGCTTCCTCCTGGGCCTCCTGTGGCCTCCTGAACTCCACCTGAGGTTTCCTGAAGCCTCTTGGGGCTCCCAGGGGGGATATCTAACCTGTGGCCGCTTGGGCCCCTCAAAATGTAGGGGGGGCACAAGAGCAGGAAAAATCAACGAATCGACACCGGATGTGTATAAACTTGACACGTTCTGATAGAGGGCCTCCTGGGGCCTCCCTCCTGGGAATCTCCTGGGGGCCCCTGGGGCCTGTCCTGGGCGTCCTGCGGCCTCATGGACCTCTCTGGGGCCTCCTGAGGCTCGCAGGGTCCTATGGAGGATATGTCACATGTGGTCTTCTGGGCGCCCAAGCTGGACCACCTCTCGCGCAGCATCTGAGAGCTCAGAGTTGCGAGAATGTCTTGTGCGAAACAGACCGGACCACCTTGCGCACGGCATCTCAGAGCTCAGAATTGCAAGGATGTCTCAGGCGAGACGGGCCGGACCACCTCGCGCAGGGCATCGCAGAGCTCAGAATCTCGAGGATGTCTCAACAAAACGGGCCAGACCACCTCTCGCGCAAGGCATCTCCGAAGTCAGAGCTTCGAGGATGTCTCAGGCGAAATGGGCCGGACAACCTCTCGCAAGGCATCGCAGAGCTCAGAGTTTCGAGGATGTCTCAGGCGAAACGGCCCGGACCACCTCTCGCGCGGCGTCCCGGAGCGCAACTTTTTGAGGATGTCTCAGGCGAAACGGCCCGGACCACCTCTCGCGCGGCGTCCCGGAGCGCAGCTTTTTGAGGATGTCTCAGGCGAAACGGCCCGGACCACCTCTCGCACGGCACCTCGGGGCTCAGAGTTTCGAGGATGTCTCAAGCGAAACGGCCCAGACCACCTCTCGCCCGGCGTCCCGGAGCGCAACTTTTTGAGGATGTCTCAAGCGAAATGGCCCGGACCACCTCTCGCGCGGGATGTCTCAGGCGAAACGGCCAATCCCGGCCAACTCAGAAACGAGAGTTGTGAGGATGTCTCAAGCGAAACGGCCAAAACCATAAAATTTGTGTGAGGATGTCTCTGCTCCGACTTCCCTCGGCCGGAGTTAGTTTCTACCACAACAGCGCCCCGTTCAGCAAGCTGTTTGGGGAATTACCCATCCTTGCTATGCGGGTTGACTGCATGTCGGAAACAGGAACACACACACACACATTACCAATAGCGAGCTGCTCTTCAATCCCAGGACTTTCTGAGGGTCGGGGGCAACGTCGGGGTGTGGTGGTGTATACATATTTTGTTTCGCCTGCAGGGGAAACACCGAAAAATGCATACACCAGGACCCCGTACACACCAGGGTCCGCTCTCATGTGCAACTTCCAGTGCAGGGCCGGAAAAAGCGTCGGTGTGTAGAATCCTGGCGGCCTCGCCCACGCCTGATCTCAGCATTGTAGTTAGTGATGTTTGGGGCGGCGATTCTTCATGAGGGCCCTCGAGCGCGAGGCCATTCCGAAGCAGGCGCTCGAAACGCCCGCGCGCGCCCCGTGCAGCAGGGTCGCTCGGACGCGAAATTGCTAGGAGGTACGTAGGAGGAGGAGGAGGAGGAGGAGGAGGAGGAGGAGGAGGAGGAGGAGGAGGAGGAGGAGGAGGAGGAGGAGGAAGAGCCGAACCAACGGCACACCCGCACTGGCCAGGCCGCCCGCACTGCGCGCACGAGGCGCGCCCATGTCGTCGAGCCCGCGCGCCGCTCTCTCCGGCCCAGGCGCGAGGTGCAGGACGCGGCCCTCTCCGCGCCCTTTCCACGGGCGACCCCGGTGCTGCACCTGCAACGATGCCGCACCTCGGCGGCGAGCGCGGAGGGGGAAGTGGGAAGGGAGAAGGCATTCTCAGAAGGCGGCGGGACTTCTCAGAAGCCCTCGGTCCGCAGGGAGAGGCTTTCTGCTGTCTTCGGGGGAGGCTTAGAAGACTCCTCAGAAGGCCGGGGGACTTCCTAGCCATCTGAAAAAAGCCCGCCACTTCTCACTTCCCCCTGGGCTCGCCGCCGAGTACCGTCATCCCTGATCGGCACACAACACACACTCAAACCTATAGGGAGGAGGAATGGGGAAGGGCAAGGCGATGAGCGCGCTATAAGTATGGGTGCGAATTGCGGGCCCCGAGGGGGGTTCCCGTTCGAACGGAGAACCCCCATCTGACAACACGCAACCACAGCCCCCCAGAACTCCACCCCAGGAATTCTAAGTGACGTATGGGTACAGTCAAAACCCTAATAAGGACGCGCGGTAAGGACGCAAGACCCGTGGAAGCCGAAGTTGGGATTTTGGGGGCGGCGGACGACGAAAGCCTCAAGGACGCAAGAGCAAGGAAGAGCAAGGACGCAGGGGTACCCTGAGCAAAGTCGCGCGTCCTTATTAGGGTTTTTGACTGTATGGGTGTGAGTTGTCAGCTCGGGAACCCCCGTCGCGAACCTGCGAACGATGGCACCCACGAGGGGCACCGAGCAGGCCCGCAGCCACGCGGAGGCCCTCCTGCAGCAGGCGAGCCCGCGCGCGGAACCTCGGCTCGTGCAGGAGAATCGCACAGCGTGATCACAAGAAGGATGAGGGTGAGGGTACAGACAAAAACCCGAATAAGGACGCGCGACTTTGCTCAGGGTACCCTTGCGTCCTTGCTCTTCCTTGCTCTTGCGTCTCCGTCCTTCCTTGGTTTCGTCTTGGGGTTGTCGTCGTCCGCCGCCCCAAAAATCCCAACTTCGGCTTCCAAGGGTCTTGCGTCCTTACCGCGCGTCCTTATTAGGGTTTCTGACTGTATGGAAAGAAACAATGGCATGAGCATACCAACTCGGAGGTCCGCGCGGATTCCTCGGATCGGCGCTCGAGCACCCCTGGCGGCGCCTCCGGCGCAGCGCTCCGCGCGCCACGGAAGGGGGGTCCAGCGCCGATCCGAGGACTCCGCGCAGACCTCCGAGTTATTATGTTTATTTATGTCACTGTGTGGTCCCCTAGAGGAGGACAAGGAGGAGGAGGAGGAGGAGGAGAACAAGGAGGAGGAGGAGGAGGAGGAGGAGGAGGAGGAGGAAGGAGAGCGACGAGAGGGGCAGAAACGCAGGCAGTTGCCCGCGACGCGCAACTCTGCGCCTGGCACGCCTTCAGTTCTGGAGGCCAGAGATGGGTACGGCAGGTTCGTGTCGTGCCGACCCCAGCGTTGGTTTTTGACACCGCAGGAATCGTTCAACCTTGAACGATCGGCCGCTGCCGCAACGTCCGATCGTTCAACATCGATCGATTATGGGTCGCTGGCGGCGTTCAACCTTGAACGCCCGCGCTGGGGTCGCCGCTGGTCGACACGACGCAAACCTACCGTACAAGAAAGATGGGCACGATGCCAAACAACATATGTTGTCCACGGTGACGCCGACAGCGAGCCCTGTCCAAAGCGAACAAGAACTGCTGCCGGTCTTCGTGCCCATCCGTTCTGCACCCATTTCGATCGTACCGACCAGTCAGCGCAGCCTGTGCGCTAGCCGGCGGTCTCTGCTCTGCGCGCGGCGACGCCTCCGCCCCGCTGGAGCCTCCTCGGACCGCAGCGCAGCACACCAAAGCCTGGGATGCAGGGAGCCACGGCTGCAGGATAGGTCGAAGGTGCTTATTCGAGATGTCCGATCCAGCGTTCAGAAGGCGAGTTGGGAGCGGTCTGGGTTCTAAACTGATTGGTCTGAGTGCAAGTTGGAGGAAAGTTCGATCGGATGACGCCACTTGGAGAGCTAAGAGGCAAAAAGTTGGTGCAACATGGGCGTTCCCAAAACCCAGCCGCAAGTCTGACCCACCTGCAGGTCTCCGAGCCGACCCTGAGGAAAGGTGGGGACGGGGACGGGAGGGCGTTCGGGTGTTGCTAGGTGTGGCTCTGGGCCAGGGTGACCCCAGCTCGTCCAGAGAGGAGACGGCTTCCACGGCATTCCGCACGAGGCCCCAGAGGACCCCAGAGGGCCCCAAGACGGCGTGAAGTGCTGGGAGGACCTTCGGCCAGAAACACCTCTGGCAGCACCCGCAGCCCACCCCTGGAACCGGGAAGACACTGGAGAGGGGGGCGGGGCGGGGAGGGCGGAGGCCGCCCCAGGGTGCGCATCCAACCGCACGGCCCGCCGCTCGAGAGGCCCGAGCCACTTGCGGGGCGCATCCGAGAGCGACGCGGCCGGACCTTCCGCCTTCGATCGCACAGCCGCGCGGACCGAAAGGAAGCGGCACGAGCAAGCACACTTGGCCCTCTCCCGGAGACCCGAATCCAAAAAATGCACCGTCATAGAAGACCCTGAACATACTGTCGGCTACACGCAAGAATGACCCTGGGCAAGAGTGACCTTTGGTGCGCGGCTTTTTCGGGGGCGCGGGGGCACCAAACACAGGCGCGCAAGACGCTACTACCGCATCGCCTTCGGCGATCGGGGACTCCGGCGAAGGGCCACTCCTACGTGTAGTCGACACTGCCCGAGCGGAAAGGCCTGGTTGGCACGGCACACACGGCACGGAACGGACACGGCGCGGCGTGGGGCCTGCCTGCCGGATGGCCTGCCCAGGCGCCTGCGGGGAGGAGGGGGCCTGCCTGCCATGGGGTGCCTGCCCCGGGGTGCCTGCCTGGGACCTGCCTGCCCGGGAGTGCTTGCTGCCCGGTTGCCTGCCTGGGGGCCTGCCCGGGCCACGGAGGTGGCTCGCGCCACCGGCGCGCGCGCACCACGCGGCACGGAGCAGCACGCACGGCGCAGCCTCGGCCTTCCGACGACTCGGCACGGCACGGCACGGCTCGGCACGCGGGCGGCACACTTCTCGCCTTCTGGAACTTCGGCACGGCACGGCACGACAGGGCACGCGGGCGGCGGGTACCTGTTTCGCGTTCTAGAGCTTCGGCACGGGACGGCACGCGGGCGACACATGTCTTGCGTTATTCTGTGTCACTTTCCTTCGCACATCGCGCCCCGCGATGCGCGACGCGCGAGTATCTTCGCGCCCTCGCGCCCTCGCACCGCCACCCTGGAGAAACGCAGCCGCTCTGGCTCAGGACGCGACCCGCGAAGCGCGATTATCTTCGCGCCCCCGCGGCTGACCTGGATTCTGGCACGGCACGGCATGGCACGTCATGCGGGTAGTGCCTTTCTGCGCAGGTCTCCAACTTCGGCACGGGACGGAAGGCGGACGGCACACTTCGCGCAATCTAAACCTTAGACACGGCATGGCACGGCACGCAATCGGCACGCTATTCGAACTACACCAGAAGGGAAACGATTCTTAGAAATCCAATAGACTCCATGACGCATTTCCAGCTTAGAGAGATACATCTCTTGTGGGTAGACATATTTTACATCCGCCAACTTCCGCCCACCTTCCGCCAGCGAAGCCTGACTCCCCTTCCATCAGCCGGCCGCCTTCCGCTGCGCAAGAGAAGGTCATTTCTGCATCTCTCGAATGCGAGGATATTTCTGGAGAACCCCCACATCAAAATTACAACCGTCTGTCACCACAAACATCTGCATGTGCGGTGTCGGCGGCGGCGCAACGGCCGCCGCGGCTTCCAGCGACTGGACAGGCTATGCGCAACGTTGTGGAGAGAGAGGAGGACGAGGAGGAAGAACGATTGAATGAGCGTACGAATGACCACCACTGCGGACAAGCGTCTGGGCCTCCTACCCAAGACAAGGTGGATGAGGCCATGGCGTTTTGGATTATGCTAACTCCTGTGTCGCGCGAGAAAAAGGGGAGGGGAAGGAGAAGGAAGGAGGGATGGAGGAAAGGAAGGAAGGAAGGAGGGGAGGGGGAAGGAGGGGAAGGAGGGAAAGGAGAGGGAGGGGAGGGATAGTCAGGAAAGAGGGATGGAGGGAGGAAGTCCTCTGCGGCCTTGGGGATGGACACGCTGATCGATTCGCTGCAACATTCGTCAACTGTTCTCCTTGAAATTGTGCACAACGGTGTCCTCCTGAATAACGTGGTTCGTGTCGCTCTTGAGCTGGTAGAGGCCGGAACCTTGGGGATATTCTGTCAAGTGGTAGGTCGTGACTTTGATCTCTTTAAAAGGCACGGGGACCTCGTGGTTGTCAGGCTTATCACAAGGCTTGTCTTTCGCGCAGCCCGTGCCGATTGATCCTGCAAACATGAGCGCGGGCGGAGATTCCACGTCAGTGCCAAGGAGTGAGAAGCTGGACATTGAATGATTCGTCGCCCACTGGCCCATCTCGATGCGAGCCTCAGGGTGTCCCGGAACCTCCTCGCTGTATGCGAGGTAGAAGCGCGTGATACCAATGGCGAGTCCCTTCGTACGAACTCGCTCGTACCCAGGCCAGGGTACGTAACACTCATCTTTCGGGTCGTCGCAACCGAAGGACTGCAGAAAGTAACGAGTGACAAGCGGCTTGCCTGGCTCCTCGACCGGTGTGAGGTCTTTCTTGATCTTGAAAGTCATGAACGTGCCGATGTGTTCCGCGAGGGAGTCCAAGATGGGCCAACCAGTGCGAGGCGCTAAGAGATTCGTGAGCGAGCCCAGTCCAAAGGTATCCTGATGCCAACCGATCGTGATATCTTCCACACGCGAATCGCCATCGCATTTGAAATCCAATTTTTGGCACGTGGGATTGAACATGCCACACTCCTTCTCGATCCACTTCCTCATGCCCAGACGGGTATCACACAAGAGCTCATAGGCTGTCTTACCCTCGTTAGACTTGGACTTTGACGTCGCGTGAAACGCCGTGCGGGCCGCGTCGGTCTGAGGGACTGCGGCCGTGCACAAAAGCAACAACGTCGCCAAGGAAGAGTAGCACGAAGCAGCCATGGTGGCGTGCCGAGCTGTCGGCACAAGACGAGTTTTCGAAAAAAATGCAACTGCACAGGATTTGACAGCACACACAGCCGAAACGACGGGGATTGCAAGGGGCTTGAATCGACGGCTTGAGCTCAGATGGCTACGGAGAACGGGGGTGGACGAACCCTGAGATTCGACGTTGCAAAAAGAATGCAGCATCGCCAAAATTGACGAACAGAGCTCTGGGCCCCATCTTTCTGCGTTATTTTTCAAGCCGGATCGATCTGCGAGGGTCCTGGGACCCGAAACTGGCCGAAAACGCCCCAGTGCGAAAAAAATGCATCGCCAGGATCTGACGGAAGGGGAAGGGTCGCGAATCGGCTACATCTTCCCTTAGTGAGACTTCCCTAAAGGGGGGCTCCGAGGAGATGGAGGAGGAGGAGGAGGAAGAGGAGGGAGGGAGGGAGGGAGGGAGGGAGGGAGGGAAGGGAGGGAAGGGGAGACAGGGAGGGAGGGAAAGAAAGAGGGAAGGAGGGAGGGAGAGGGAGGGAGGGAAGGAAAGAGAGAGAGGGAAGAGGGGAGGGAGAGGGAGGTGGGAGGGAGGGAGGGAGGGAAGGAGAGAGGGAGGGAGGGCGGGAAAGAGGGGAGCCACGCGTGGGTGCGCGGCCTGCGTCGGCCGGCCTGCCTCGGCTTCCCCGGGCTCCCCCCGGGGGTCCCTTTGGCTGCTCTTGAGTGGCCAGCCGTCCTCGGGGGCTCCCTGGGCTTCCCAGGTTCTCTGGGGTCCTCTTCTTCCCCCCCCTCCTCCTCCTCCTCCCCCTCCCCTTCTCCCTCCTCCCCCCTTCCCCCCCCCCCTCCACAATTACTCAATATGAAGACTACTCTCCCTCTTCCCCTGATGGCGTGCTGGGAGTGGCCGACCCCCCCCCCGCGTACTGTTTTTTTACACGCAGGATTCCCGGGAATTGGGTTTTCGCCTGCGTTTTTTTCATTATCCCGGCAAAGCAACCTAACAGCGATGTGTAGGAGCATATCTGGAAGCATTCCCCTTAAGATTCGGATGAGAATCCAGTTGTAGAATTCTGTTGTTCTCGCAGTCGTAGTCGCATTCGCGATGACAGTCGCAGTGGCAACGGCAGTCGCAGTCACAGCCTCAGCCTCAGCCTGCCTCAGCCTCAGCCTGCCTCAGCCTCAGCCTCAGCCTGCCTCAGCCTCAGCCTCAGCCTGCTTCAGCCTCAGCCTCAGTCTGCCTTCAGCCTCGGCCTCAGCCTCAGCCTGCCTCAGCCTCAGCCTGCATCAGCCTC